AAGGTGTGTGTGTACATCTTAGGGGTCATGTTGTGGATGTTTGTTTTTATATCAAAGTTTGAGGGAGAAAAGGTTTGGGGGTATTTTGGTAGGTTGGAGAAGGGGGGGGAGGGGAGATAAAAGGAGGGAAAGACTGAGAGAGAGAGAGAGGGAGGGAAAGAGTGGGAGAGGGGGAGGGAGAGGGAGAGGTAGGAAGAGAGAGGAAAGAGTGATGACGTTAAATTCCTCAATGCGTCAAGGAAGAAAATTATTCATTTCAGAGTACACTATTTGCGAAGGAAAGGAGCTACAAACACAACAATAAACCGGGGGAAAATAGACACAAAAATCCCTAATAAAGAAGAAAAAAAGGAGAGAGAGAAAAAAGAAAAACTTCACTTTTCCTCAAACACGAACACGAAAATCACCCACCTCGTCCTTGAACACCTATTGAAACCTCAAACCTCAACCTCACAAACACTCCCCCCCCCAGTCCTGAACCATCTTGCCACCTTGCACATTTATCCCTTTAAACCATAAAAAAAACACCCATCAATCACAACAAACAAACAAAAACACAACATCCCAAAATCTTCACCAGGATCTCCCCCAGTACCTCACACGCGAGAACGTGAACTCAGCGACGGCGCCCTTGCCGACGGCGGCGTGGAGAGACCTGCGAACCCAACGAGAGATCTGGCAGGTATCCTCACGCTCTCACACTCCATGTCACACTAAGGAAAGGACGCGGCGATCCCATCCAAAGCAATGGACCAAAAAATCGATCATCCCAAATGCCAACAGGAAGATATTATGCACAAGGATGACAACTTGGGCGGAGTCATAAGTAAAGCGAAGAAGACGAGAATAAAATGGCGGCGTAAATGCGATTCTCTTAGTCAGAGGTCACTCGAGAAAAAAGAAAAAAAAAAAAAAAAAAAAAAAAAAGAAAAATCAGTAAACGAAAAAAAAAAGTGTATGTATATATAGGTAGATAGAGAAGTAGATAGATAGGTAGATAGATAAATAAGTAGGTAGATAAAAAATAATAGAGCTTGGCATGAAGATATAAGGGTATAATATAACTATAAGAGTAGGAGAAAAGGGAAAGAGAGATGGAAGGAGGGAGGAAGGAAAAAGGAAGGAGGGAGGGAGGAAGAAAGAGGAAGCAGGAGGGAGGGAAGAAGAAGGAGGAAGGAGGGAGGGAGGAAGAAAGAGGAGGTAGGAAAAAGGAAGGAGGGAGGAGAATGGAAAGAGAAAGGAGGAAAGGAGGAGGAGGGTCAGCAGAAATAGCATCATCATCGAAAGGAAGGAAGAAGAGAAGAAAAAGACCCAACTAAACATAATTTAAAGACAAAAAAAGGAAAAAAAGAAAAAAAAGAAAGAAAAAAATAAAGCGAAAAGAAAAGAAAAGAACTTTTTCTTCTTTTCTTTTCTTTTCTTTTTTTTTTCTTTTTCCCTAAGGATGACATAACGAAATCGATCCCAAAAGCCAAAGGTCAGACCGCAGGAACGAAGCGGATGAAGCCATCAAAGAAATAACAATTTCGGATAAAACTAAAATCACCCGCACGGATTTTGATCACCAGATATGCACTACTTTACGTACAACAACTTAGCAAATCTCTCTAAATCTTTTCCTAGGAAGAAAAACAAAAAAAACAACAAAAACACTATACTAAATACGATATCACAACATATGCACATATATACCAGATGCTTCCATCAAAACGCGTTTGTGAAAGACGTCTAAGCTAGTCTAAGAAGTGTACCTGTCCTTGCCCCACTAGGCCGGTCTACCTCAGTGTCTCCTGATTGCTCTTATCTTGTGCGTCATGTCTCTCGTCAGTAACTCGGCCTGAGTCCTAACAGAGGTTGTAGATTCACAGGCAATACGCTTGTATGTATATGCCTA